CTCAGTTTTTACTATTTTTCTGCTTGTTACAGTAGCAGTAACATTTTGGTATATTTGGAGAAAACAAATCCAGAAGAAAAACGATCTATCCCAAGACACGAAAGATGAAGAAAATCCCGAATCCAGTGAAGAAAGGCCCAAGAAAGACGCAAAAAGAAGAAAAACCCCTGAAAACAGAAAACGTTCCTAATCAGTTTTCAGACTAGGTGGGGAGGAGTTATGATGCAGACAAGGATGCACGTGGAAGAAGAAAATGCTGAGGAAAGCATCCGAGCCGGAGATGATAAATAGAGGTTCTTCATGCTTTTCCGGAGATTCCTCGTTTGTTTGTCATATTGTACATTTTATGTATTGTAAAATATTTCAAGTCAGTTTTGTAAAGTAAAATAAAATTTTTAAAAACCCGGACGGCCATTTCGGCAACATATCATATACGTTGAGTCATTTATTTTAACAGTGAGTAGATCTGATCAAAAGTAATGTTTTTGTCCTTTAACATTTTTCTGGTAAAATTAAAGTAACAAAGTTATAGCCCTTTAGAAGTTTGAGTACCGCCCTGTCTCAATAATAATATTATGTGCTCGTGTTTGGCAACAACGGATATAATCCGCCTTATCCGTTCATCGCATCGGAAACAAAAAAGCGAAAGAATTTGAAACGATGTTTTTACTACAATGTACAATCTTATTCAGTTGTATTCAGTCGATGTGTCAGTCGGTAACGCGTGAGTGAATAGTGAATAAAAAATGGCACATGTTTACGAAAATGCTGAATGTAGTACAAAGGGCTCGTGAATCAGGTGACTTAAGACCTCACAGGAGAGGGCATGCCGGTGCTCCAAGACCGCACGATCAAATACAGGTCCGCACTGAAATACTTGTCGGGAGGATACTTTATAAAACAAGGTAACATTTTTTTTTATTTTTACACACATATTTTGGTTTATCTTCCTTCTACAATCATTATCTGAAAATTAATGACTCAACTTCAAAGCCACCCTGTATATATATATATACAGGGTGTAAACGTTATGGTAGTAATTATTGAAATGGGTAATGGGGGGGGTCAAAACAAGTCAAAAAGTACATATGACCCATGGTCCCAAAGTCAATAGATTTTTGTCTAAATGGCTTTATAGTTTACAACTTTTAAGTGTTTTATATCGACCACAATCACCACAATCTTACTGATTTTTACAATCTAATCTAAAACATTTTTAAATTAGGTAATTAACAAATAAATCGCATTAAGTTTTTCTAAGTTAAGCAAAATTTGTAGTCAGTAAGAAATTAAGTTTCATTAAGTTGAATATTTAAAACACACTTGACAACAGCGCGTCGGTCATTATCAGTCTTATTGAACCGGCAATCGATCGCAAACTACAACAGTGGTTAGTTATCCGTGTTTGCATAGTTTTGCGACGTTGTCAGATTTATTTTACTTTAAATTCGCTTTTCTCTAAAAAAATGCCGTTTTGACCCCCATGTTAAATGAAACTTTTTGCTTCTTCTAACCCACTCTATCACCCATTAAAATAATTACTATCATAACGTTTACACCCTGTATATATACAGGGTGACTTTGAAGTTGAGTCATTAATTTTCAGATAATGATTGTAGAAGGAAGATAAACCAAAATATGTGTGTAAAAATAAAAAAATAAATAAAAAAAAATGTTACCTTGTTTAATAAAGTATCGTCCCGACAAGTATTTCAGTGCGGACCTGTATTTGATCGTGCTGTATTGGAGCAGCATGCCCTGACCTGTAAGGTCTTAAGTCACCTGATTCACGAACACTTTGTACTACATTAACAAAGGCACGAGGGGTTGGTTGCACTCGATTGGGAAACCGATTCGCATAAATCCGTGATGCATCCGGGAGCATTTTGTAAAGACTGCCCCCCCGTAAATAAGAATCATGTCCACAAGTTCAGCATTTTCGTAAACATGTGCCATTTTTGATTTCGTTTGAGCCACGCAACAAACACTTACTATTTATTCACTAACGCGTTATCGACTGACGAAAAACATCGTGATAAACGTTTCAAATTCTTTCGCTTTTTTGTTTCCGATGCGATGAACCGGTCAGGCGGATTATATCCGTTGTCGCCAAACACGAACATATTATTATTGAGACAGGGCAGTACTCAAACTTCCAAAGGGCTATAACTTTGTTACTTTAATTTTACCAGAAAAATGGTAAAGGAAAAAAACATTTCTTTTGATCAGATCTACTCACTGTTAAAATAAATGACTCAACTTCGAAGTCACCCTGTATATATATATATATATATATCTGTGAGAAATCTATATTTCTGGAGATACTAAGGCCATTCACCCTGTAATAAGGAATGCGCCATTTTGGATGTTGACGTCAGATATTCGGAATTTGGAGTAATATATTTATTGGACTTCACCAAAGTCAATCGCTGGTAAGCAAAAAAGTTACAACCTCTGTCTGTCACCCAGTGTTACAATAATAAAATTAAAGGTATTAGACTGTAAGTGAGCATAAAAAGCTTCCTGTATGATCTTGTCAGCGACGTCTTACCAAAACAAAGAACTCCTACAAAATGTATATTTTACGACTTTTCCCCCACAAGCTATAAGAAACTTGTTTGTTCGTCCAGTACGAGGGGTGCTGTTTTCGAAATCTTTGAATTTTACTTTGTAGATTTGTTGAAAAACAATGTTATGAAAGTTTCTTGTCCTGAGATTTGATTATTTATGCGAAGTTGTGCCGACAGTATATAATTTCAACTCATTGCCTGTCATTACTTGAAATTGTGATAGTCAAGACCGGAGTTGTCGCTGATCTGCTTGCTAGTGCTGTTATATAATTACAGTATACAATAAATAAGTAAGTGCAAAAAGGATTCGTAGGTTTATTACGTAACCTACAAGCAAATTTGAAAACGTATATGGTTCAGAATATTTTCTCAGCAGAGCTGCCCCTCTTGCTATATCCTATTCCTGCTAATGGGTAGAAGTAGATATAGTTTAGCTTTTTTTCTAATACTATACTATAGTACAATATTCAACGTTGGTGTATACCTCAGACTATTTGATATTGATAGGATATCATCAATACTTCTTTAATTAGATACTTCAAATTCCAAAATACCAAATTAGTATCTACATAAAGTCAATTTTCTGTATTCTCTCCAAGTACCACATACTCGTCGGAGTTAATTTTTAAAATGAGGGAGTAAAATAACTCAGAGGAAATTGGCATGGCTGACAAAAGAGTTGTCTCCCTCATTCTCAGGGAAAAAGTGCGTTGTTCATCAGTCTGGGTTCACAGACGAAGTTGACTTTTAATGATATAAAAAAGGATCCAAGAGCTTACTGCTCTACCAAAAATCGAAGCACTTGTTTGACAAATGTCAACAGCTGTCACAATGTGGGTCAGAACTAGTATGTTTTTTTGAGGAAATTTGATAGCTAACGAGAAATTTACAGCAGTTTAACTTGGCTAATATGGTGGCGTATTATACACCTCAGGAAAAACCATTGTTATACATGGGAAATCATTTCTTGGCGACAGAGCATCGGCTCGTCTACTTTCATCGCTATTCGTACATATTTCCTACCGTTAACCGCAGACCTGTATCACGAATGAGAATAATAGGCAGATACGCTGTGTTGCCAATTTGAGTAGAGCTTCCCGAATTGTGGGGAATTTAGAGTTAAGTGTTGATTCATTCAAGCTTTTAATCAGCATGGCCTAGACGTTAGAACTTCATAAATGTAACATTGAAGCTGAATGCTGCTGGAGTATAGTGTTTCGAATAGTCAAAGCGGAGCGGGACACTATACTCGTTCAATGGGTCATCAAGCCACAGTCTTTTCAACAAAGACATTATTTTACGAAAATGCGTTATATTTTTACGATTTTATCGTCACCAAATCTCTGTTTCTCAAAATGTACGTCTATTGTAGAATTTTCAGCAAACTAAGCAAGAAACGTGATCTAGTATTTACTCAACATTACGGATTTCTCGAAATACATTAAAAAATGTGACCTAGATACCTAACTGCCCCAAGCTCTTTAAATATAACACCTTAAACCAGGGTTACCAGGTGCTCAGTCACGTTGATTGTCATGTTGTACTGCGCAAGCCAGCAAACAATCTGGCGTAATAAACGTTAGGAATCATCAGGTATTGCCAGATTCCCGAATACCGGGCACCATAGTAACCGTTATAGTTGTCCTTCAAAGTTGTCAAATCGCCCCTATGGCGCAAATTCGCCACACCAGGCAACTGTGCTATAAACAAGCCCTGTTTATCACTACTATTTGATAGTCATATGGTAGTTGTAGCCCTATCTAGCGGTCCATGATTTCTCTCAATACTGTTGTATCTCTACTGGCAACAAGAATAGGGATTACAAAATCATTTATACAACAATATACAAACATGAAAAATATGATTTGAACCATGAAACATTAATACAATTTTAATAGTTTAAACTTTTTTTATTTTTGGAATACTCTTATGTGGAATCCGCAGCTATTTTTCCCGAAATTTGGGTAGATTTAGATTTCTTAGAAATATGACATATTGGTATCGGCAACTCTGCGAATGGGAGAAACAAATCGCATTTGTTGAGCGCATCCGTCTAAGCGGTAGGCGCCAGCGCCCGTTCTGCCATCTCTCTCTTTTATTACTCTTCTACTTTACCCCGTTGTCCGTCACTCTGCGACGCTGCCGATAGGATCCTACAATCGAGTGTCTTTCACGCACCTACATACTTTTGTATATTTCCATCTCTCTTCCTCATCATAATGTATAATAATGGTTTTTCCCAAGGTGTATGTGGACCTTTGAATAGTTTCTCAATTATTGATGCATGTGTATACCGCCATTAGTCACGTTAAAAATTCAGTGAATGTGCATATTATATTAGCACACTATACGTAACACATTCACCATTAGTTTCAATCAAGCATCGAGCTACCGGCAGGTGTCTGTCAAAGTACTTAGAAAAAGGCCATAATGAAGTCTTACAATTTAGGCTGTTTATACTTATTTGACTTTTTTCCTTATTATCAGATTTTATGTTTGCAGGTGGGCAGCGTTCCTCGGTCGCCGCCTCCTGGTTCCGCAGGTACCGCCTCTAGTCCCGATGAGGGAGGGGTTGGAAGCGATCCAGAGGCGGAGTTACTGATGGGCGATGGGGGAGTAGGCGGATCTAGTAATGCCAGCGAACCAAAGGCTGGCAAAAAAGGCGTGGCCTCAAAGATTGCCAGCCTTTTGAAGAAGCTGTGCAGCACCCACCAGTTTCGGAACGAACAGGTAAAACGCACATGCCTGATAAAGATCCAGTAGCAAGTAGCAATATCTTCTGACCCGTGTAGACTTAATTAAAAATGGTCGGCGGCGACATTTGCACCTCATAGTGGAAACATGGACAAAATGAACGCCTTAAGCTCTCTTCCATTATTGCAGAAATATTAAATAATGTTGAACTGAATTGGACACCTCAAAAACCCTGTAAGTGGTAGTAGTAGTAGTTGTAGAAAGATTTATTTAGCACATTTGGCTACATAAACAGAATAATTGTAAACAACTTAGAACTAGTAAATTCAAGTCATATGGTGTATGATGTAAATGCTGGGCAACCTATAATTGTAGATTTAACAAGTGATTTCTCAATTTTACTTTAAATTTTGTCAAAGTTTTCTGGTCTTTTATCTCTGAGTATAATTTATTATATTCAATCAACCCTTGATGGAATACAGATTTGTAGCATATGTTAGACTATTTGGTCATTAAATGGAAGTCATCTTTAGTTTTGGTATTATGTAAATGATGGTCGACATTTGATGATATTAAATTAGACTTGATGGAAATATACTAAGTGACATGTAAATCCGAACACCCAGTTTAAATGGTTTTATTTTAATAAAATTTTGTATAAGTACTTAGTGAAGCATAATAAGTAAATGATAAAAATTTCAAAATGATTGCACTGCTTTAAAACCCTTTGATCTTTAATAATGTGTGGATGCACCCTGATGTGCTACGCATTCTCCAACGCGCCTAGGCATGCTTCTGATCAGGTGGTCAATGTCCTCCTATGGTATCTCATTCCAGGCAACCACCAACTCCTCTCGAACTGCTTCTAGAGTCTGAGCAAATTGAGCAATCTCCTACCCATCATATCCCACACGTGCTCAATTGGGGATAAGTCGGGAGATCTTGGTGGCCATGGTAACATGTTCATCAAACTGTTGGAGTTATGGTTTGGGGTGCTATAGCTTATGGTTCCAGGTCACCTTTAATCTTCATCAGAGGTAACATGAACGCGCAGCGTTATATCCACGGAGTTCTAGAACACCATCTTTTACCCTATCTTGACACCCTGGCAGATCCAACTTTCCAACAAGATAATGCCCGACCACATGTTGCAAGAGTCACAATAGACTTCTTTCAACATTATGATGTCACATTGTTACCAGGGCCACTAAGATCTCCCGACTTATCCCCAATTGAGCACGTGTGGGATATGATGGGTAGGAGATTGCTCAATTTGCAACGTCCTCCTCAGACTCTAGAAGCACTTCGAGAGGAGTTGGTGGTTGCCTGGAATGAGATACCACAGGAGGACATTGACCACCTGATCAGAAGCATGCCTAGGCGCGTTGGAGAATGTGTAGAACATCAGGGTGCATCCACAATTTATTAAAGGTCAAAGGGCTTTAAAGCAGTGCAATCATTTTGAAATTTTTATCATTTACTTATTATGCTTCATTAAGTACTTATACAAAATTTTATTAAAATAAAACCATTTAAACTGGGTGTTCGGATTTATATGTAACTTAGTATATATTATTTTTTACTTTATAAATGAAAATCATTACAAGATATTTGATAAAATTTATTACATTGAGCCATTTTAATTTGCTAAGCATTTGTCTAATTGGAGTATATTTATCTTTATTTAGTATTATTCTCATGCATTTATTTTGTAAAATTTGCAGTCTTTCAAAAATGGAATTATTTGCTAAATATAGAATAGATAATTTTCCTGCTATATGAGCTCAGACATCCAGAAATTCTGGATAAATATCCCATTTTACTACTAATCTTATTATAACTTTTCAATAATGAATATCAAAAATTAATCGAGAGCCAACAAAAACCCCCAGGTATTTAAAATTCAATATCTTCACCATCAATATTCAATTGAACATTTGTACATTGTTTTTTCCAATTAACAAGGCTTTCGTTTAACTTGTATTTAATTTTAGTCTGTTAGATGCTAACCATTTTGAGACAAGTTTCAAGTCTTCATTTATATCAGAGATACCAGACTGAATATTTTTAGTACTTATATAAATCATAGTGTCATCGGCGAAAATCTGAATTTTGCATTTTTTGACTATGGCAGGGAATCATTTATGTATAAAATAAAAAGAAGTGGTCCCAGGATACTGACCTCTGGAACACCCAACGTATTTTCAATTTTTTTTCATCCTTTTAGAAAAATAATTTCTATACCAATCTAAAACACTTCCTGTTATACCATATGCCTTCAATTTACCTAACAAAATATCTCTATCAATCGTTTCAAATGCCCTCTTCAAATCCAAAAATACTGCTATGACAACTTCTTCTGAGTCTATGGGTCTTCTCCAATTCTCAGTTACCAACTGGAAAGCCGTTTCTGTGGAATATTTTTTTCGAAAGCCTGCTTGCGCCTCCACTAAAATTTTGTTTTCTTCTATAAACTGCATGAATTGGTCATGTACTCTACTCATGTACTCTAATGACTTTTCAATGTCTGGTAACACATTTACTGGTCTCATATCGCTGCATCTTTTAGAATTTTTAATTTTGGGAACTGGCGTTATCGTAGAGCATTTCAAATCTTCAGGAAAAGAACTGCTTCTCAGTGAACAATTGATCCAATTTAATACAGGATATCCCAAAATTTCGAAACAGTTTTTCAGCACGTTTTTAGTAGTGATTTCGGCACAGATGTTATTTGATTTTAAACTGTTTACTTTTTTTCTTAGATAATTCAATGATACACTGTGAAATTTTGAAAGTGTATGCAACATTTCCCCCTGGAAACTGATTTTCATGTAGTCAGGTGCAGTATTGGCAGTACCCACAATATCAACAATACTTTCCACGAAATATTCATTTAGTTTGTCTGCAATCACCAAAGAATTTGTTTCGGTACCGTTTTCGAATTGAACTTGATTTACACAAGCATGCGGCTTCCAATTGATCAGTTTTTTAAAGTCTTCCACATGTGACACAATTTTAATTTTTCATGAATCAATAAAAACTGTATCAGTTCACAAATGGTAGTGTACCAAAGGACTTGTGTAAACTTAATTTAATATTGTTTGAAGGTGAAGACATGTACTATTGATTGAAGCAGTTATACCCAGAATAAGTATATTTAAGAAATCGTTATCAGCAAAGAAAGCATGTTAGAAAAGTATGACATCAGTAGTTTCTGAAATAATCAATTTAGTTGAGGAAAACATCTGAGCTGATTCTGCATTTATCTGTGTTCCAAGAACTAATAGTAATTATTAATTAGTTTTAACTATCAAGAAACAGATAACAAAAAATAGCATTAAGTAGGTTGACTTTGTATTTTCCACGCTTCGCTGTTCATAGATGATTATGTTCCGCATAAGCCCCTCTGAGCAGTGTTGCATGGAACAAGGAACGCGAGTATTGGAAATATTTCTCTGTCACTCTAAGTTTTAAATGGTAATATACGATCTAATCGTTACGTACTAGCAGTTTTGTTCTATAAATTCAAACTTAAATTTACTGCTAAATACACGGTGCGTGTTCGCAGAAGTCAAAAAAAGGCAATGATGCCATTTATCAGCAATAAAATAAAAAAAAGAACAATAAACAGGAAAAATATATACACAAGATCGATTATCACCTTTACAATAAACCACTTTGAAAGCCACAAATAAAATCAAAAATCTATTGGAATTCTGGAAAGTCAGCGTTGAACAACTCTTGAAAGTTGTAGAATGCTTTGTTTATCAAGGAGCATTTTATTTTCATTTTGAAAGGCTCGTCATTAAGGAGCTTGGCCTTATCTGGAATTGGGTTATAGAAGCAAATTCAGTGGTAAATACCAATAGCTGTTTGTAGACGGTGTTGAGGTAAATTTAACTTGTGGTTATTACAGGCGTTGTACCTGTGTGTAACACTGTGTGTTGTATACAAAAATGGCGATTCCTATGGATGTACGCATGCAAGCAAGTAAGCATGTACAACGACGGTAGGCTTAATATTTTCAGTTGGATAAAAGCATCTCTACATGGATCCCTAAATTATAAGCCACAATTACATCTAACACAGCGTCTCTGCATTGCAAACACTGTTTGCATATGTGCTGAAACATAGCTTTCTAAGTCTCTCAACCTGTATATATATATATATATACATTGAAAGATCCTTCAATACATGTAACATGTGAGTCTCCCAGGTCATATGTGCATCAATATGTACTCCTAGGAACAGAGCAGAGTCAAGTGATTCAATATTACGTTTTCGCAAAACTGATAAACATAGACTGTGACTGCATTGGGGGTTAGCTTATTTGATATAAACCAGGTTATCAATTTACTTATTATGCTTTGATCTGAGAAGGTTTGCTGATGTATGACTATAAATCATTCTTGTGTCATCAGCATATAATATTCTTATATACAGGGTGTAAACGTTGTGGTAGTCATTATTGAGAGGGGTAATAGGGGGGGTCAAAACAAGTCAAAAAGTTCATATGACCCATGGTCCAAAGTCAATAGATTTTTCTCTAAATGGCTTTATAGTTTACAACTTTAAGTGCTTTATGTCGAACCCAATCACCACAATCTTACTAATTTTTATAATCTGATCTAAAACGTTTTTAAATTGGGTATTTAACAAATAAATGACATTAAGTTTTTCTAAGTTAAGCCAAAATTTGTAGTTAGTAAGTAAGCAAGTTTCATTAAATTGGATATTTAAAACCCACATGACAACAGCGCGTCAGTCATCATCACTCTTATCGAACCCGCAATCGATCGCAGACGGTATCAGTGGTTAGTATGTTGTTCGCGTACGTCGAAAAAATTTTTAATGCGGCTGAAATAATAAATGGGCAACTTCGAGGACCTAGAGTAAGAAGAAACTGGATTCGTCGTAATGAAGCTTGAAAGTGGGGGACGACATTTTGAACACCTTCTTCAAATACAAAAAAGTGCAGTGTGGATTTTAAAAAGAAAAACAATATACCTGTATGTATCAAAATTGTGTTCCCTACTTATAAGTGGATTTTTTTAATACGTTCAATAAAC